ATTTTCCATGAAAAATTATACCAATCAAACACAATTAATTACAATTCTCAGTAAAACATTTTCTAGAAAAATCAATTCCATGTAAAACATTTTCTTTCCACACATTTTCCACCCTTGCCATCAAACGGACCCTAAGAAACATTGTCCAAAAGTCCATAAAAAAGAATGATCAAGGAGCACGTTATATAACATCAAAAGTCAGAAATACACAATCGTGCAGCACTTAGCACTCAACGTGCCACAGTCTTGGCTCTTGACATATAGGGGGTGTTTGATGAATATTATTGATGAAAGAATGTATTTTAAATAGTGATGTGATGGAAAATATGTGGTTAGAAAATAAAGAAAATTTTTGGATGTGATGGAAAATATTATTTTATTGAAGAATGTGTGGTTGAAAATGAGTTTTGAAAGAATGTGGATCAAACATGGGCATAATGGTCGCATTCAAACCAAAAAGTGAAAATAATAATAATAAAAATAAAAAATTGCTAGGTTCCTAACCTGCATTTATCTCATTCATTGCTATACGTACAGAGGGGTCAGGAACAATGTCGACCATCAATATGTGCTCTATGTTGTATCCATATGCTCCCATCACCTGACACATGAATTTAACTTAAAATGGTGTTCAAATGGAACTTTTCAGTTCAGCCATCTGAAGATACAAGCTAAATGACAAGAAAAGTATTAAAACCATTGAGAAAATAATGCTGATATATACACACTGATAAAAAATATGCAGCAAGCACTGACAGATTCTCCTTTTTTGCGAAGAGTTGTCGTCTTATTATCTACAGATTTTTCCTCCCTTTGTTAAAAATATAAACTGCAAAGCTTAGCAGTTCGTAATCCAACATGCATGAAAATACAATTTTCGACCATGCAGGTGAAAATATTTTTCGTCTTCTAATTGGAAAATAGTGTGTCAGGTTACAACTTGAAATCAATTCCACGTTTCACTATTTGAATATAAAGTCTGTGAAAACAAGAGAAGAAGAGACCAAAAGGATGCAAACAAGGTAACATTTACAGAACTACAACTTTAAACTAGAAAGCCGGGTTTCCAGGATCCTTATCAATGTGTGATCTAAACTACTAAGTCAATGGAAAAACGTAAATTTGTCCAACACTTGCTATTTCTCCCTTCTTTATGCTGATACCATAACACTTCTGCAGATCTTCTCCAATAAGAAAATTTTTACCATGTACTTTCTACTGCCAGTAACCTTGATTTACTCTGCTGCTTTAACCAGCAAAGAGCTTAATGAAAAGTGGACTCAGAAAGGAGGCAATTACATTTTTTTTATCCATTTTTAAGGAAAGGGAAGCATTAGATATAATCATGGGTTATCATATTTGTTTAGCACCTTCCTAGTTTCAAAGTTAAATCAATACGATGTAATCATGTAAGTAACACAAAATCATCAGATTAAGAAAACAACCCCAAATTACTTCTAAGAGTTCCTATTGATGACGCTAAGTCAAAAAAAGCCTCTCTTACACCCAGAGTATCGACAAAACACTACAAATAAGACTATCCAAATTACTTTCAACAAATAATTTGTAAACAGAAACTATTCTATACCCATCTAAACAGCATAAACTTACCTTCTCCAGTTCCTCTAAGACAGCTTCAGCAACATCACGCTTCTGTTCAAAAAGCTCATCCAAAGTCATTCTAGGAACATGAGCTCGAACAACTAGGAACAGAAGCAAATACAACATAAACAAAAAATAAATAAATGAAATAACATACATGTTAAAATGACAACGAAAACTGAAAACAGAAAGTTGTCCTGGACTACAACATATTCCATAGATAATGTGAATTACCATCAAACACATAAGACTGAATCTGCTCCTTGGGATTTTGCAATTCATAAAAAGCATCATCAGCATTTTCCCTGATTACTCGATATTGAATTGAGCAATGAATTTGAACAAAGACATTGTCCTATAGAATGAGAATCTCATTAATACTTTCCTTGTCTTGCTTCATAATATCAATTTCGACCATATAAGTTTTGGAACAACGTATAGTCGAACAACATATAGTATTCAACCCACAACTCTATAGTAAAATAAGTTGAAATGTCAAAGGCTCTGTAAAGTTGATAAGAGGCCCAAAATAAGCAGCAAGTTTACAAGCATGTCTAACAAAAGTAGGCATTAAGATGCGGGTAAATCACATGAAGTCTTGTAAGGCATGGAATCTGAGCATCCAATTGGAATTAAAAATGATTCTGTTCAAACTCGGAATTAGATTTTCAATCCAGTTCTAAAAACCCAACCCATTATTCCGTATTTACCATCAAAATAGGGACAAATTCGTTGTACTTTAACTAAAAGGACCAAAGCAGGGTGATAAACTGAACTATTCTATCTTCCCAAATATGTTTGGCTTCTCTTTAGAAGTTGCTTTTTTTGTTCTTTTCAACTTCTAGTACAAAAATTGGCTTCATCAAAAGCATCCTCTTACATACTTCTTAAAAATAGAAGTTTGCTTCTTTTTTAGGCTTGGATAAACATGTTCACAGAAGTAATAGCTCTGGAATACTTAGAACACTAATATTTTTATACAAAAACCCACACCCATAAAAGAATTTAATCAGATCAAAATCAATGGTGATCAACGTTCAACTATTCACAAGTAGTTGCCTCGAATTCAAAGCATAACTTTTTCCTCACAAAAAAGAAAGAGGTGTAGAGAAGAACTTCTATGTAAAGAACTAGGCGAAAGAGCAACAATAAAGAGTTCTTCTTGCACAAATTTGAAACAGCATATCAAAGATGCATATAAAAAAAACCATTTGAGAACATCTAAATATAATATAAGGCCTCAGTACATAAAATCAGTACGTTACGACAGAGAAAATCAAGACCAAAATTTAATAGTTTAGCACCAAAGTCGATACAAAATTCAAATAAAACACATTACGTATGAGTTATTACTTATTAGAGATCGAATAATTTCCATTTCGATTTTAATATTTAGTCCAAATACAAATACACCGAGATCATATTACGGAATAAAGATTAGTTCTTTGCTCTGATTGTCATAATCCAAATACTTATTCACAAACATAATCATAAACCCACTTATAGAGAGATGAAAAACGAAAAGGGACCTTGGTTTTGGTCTCAATTTTGACATCGAGAGAATTGATCCTGGTGGACAGAATCCCGGCGAGGCATTCTCCGGCGAGCGGGTTGAAAAAGTGGAGCCCCGGCTCCGCCAGCCGCTGGAACCGCCCCCACTTCTCCACCACCCCAACGCTCGCCTGATCAACGCACCCGCAAAGAACGCATGAAGTGTTCCCCATTTCTTTTGCCCTGTACAGATTCGTTAGTCAAATTGATTCCACTGTATTGAATTTCTGAAATGAAGTTTATTAGAGGGAATCCCTTAGAGGCGGTTTTGGATGGTTTGGGTGAAGGCCACGATAGGAGACTACGTCGTTTTGGGTGTTTTCTTTTGAAGAAATAACTTGACTGAGTGTATTAGTTTTGTTATGGTTAATTGGCGCAAAACGTTTCTACATTTACACGTCTATGTGCAAAACATCCACCCCTTTCGTTTTTTGGAGCGAAACGTTCATACATTTCACATTCTTTGCGCAAAACGTTATTTTGACCAATTTTAACATAAAATGACTAATATACCCTCTTATATAAATAAATTAAAAGAAAAAAAGAAAAGAAAAATCAAGAATAAATTGGAATCTTACTCCTAAACTTTCTAAAAAATGCAAATCAATCCAAAACTTATAAAAATATAAAAAATAACAACAAAAAAAAAATCTCTCTTGTCCCTTTTCAGCCAAATACATGAGTTCATTTTTCAGCGACTTCCAGCCACCCAAACCATCGGATATCGGTCCCAACATGTTCTCTTCATTATCCTCTACAACTACATATCAAAAAATCCCCTTAACTCATTGTAATTTAGTAGGAAATCTAATTCAAAAATTGCAGCATGAAAATCAGTCAAACACCCACAACTCGCCGTCCGGCCACCCAACCTGGCGGAATCCACCACCGGTCGACTCCCCTCATCAAGTCGAAGCTACCTATGTAAACAATTTCCTTCAACGAGCATCCAACAACCACCAATTTCAAAGCAAAGACAGTCAAGTCGTGAGTTCGCACCAGCGAACATTTCAGACCCTGATTGAAGATGATTGGAGCCAAATTGAAGGGGACCCATGGCTGGGCTATGTGCGCCGGTGATGGCACACCCAGCCCAGGTGTTCCGCCACCATGGGTGGTCACGACAGCTCCTGAATTGGAGGAAAACTGGTGCGGTGTCGCGACGGCCAGCTTTCAATTTGAAATTCAGATCTTATCCTTACTGTTTGGGCTAAATTGTTTGCATGGTCAAGGTTGTCCTGAGTATGGGAGTTGGCCGGTGGTATGTTCCGGCCAGGAAGGTGGTCAGATGGTGTGATTCCGACGTTTGATTGCATTTCATGCAGCGAAGTTTAAAACTCGATTCCGGTCAAATCTGCCAGAGTTGTGGCTGGTGGTTGGGTGGGTTGTGAAGAGGGCAATGAGAGCTTCAAGGTGGTATGATGGTCCGACGTCAATGAGAGTCGCATTAAAATTTTCATTTTCATTCTTTTACTCATTTACAACCACACATTCTTTAATAAAATAATATTTTTCATCACATCAATAACTTTTTCTTATTTTTCAACCACACATTCTCCCTCAATCTATTATTTCAAAATATATTTTTCCAAAATAATGTGGCTTGAACACACTCTTAGTGTTATTTGTGAAATTAGAAAAAAAATATCAAAATGGAATTAATTAGGCCCATCAGTTGACGGGTTCATTAGCAAAATTATTGGGCTTGCCCAGGCTCCATCCACAGCTGTATAATAAAGTCCAGTGCTCATCCTCATTAGGAGCTAGGGATTCGGGTATTTGTTTTGCAAGATCTAAACTCACAGAGCCGCGCCGCTGCCACCGCCACCAGAACAATCTCCGCCAACATGGGTCGTATGCACAGCCGCGGGTACGTCGGCGTTCTTCTCCTTTCATCTATAATTTAAGTATATCTGTATTTTTGAATTAAGTGTAATTCTGTTTTTCCGGTGATTCTTATTTCAGTAAGGGTATTTCAGCTTCTGCCCTACCTTACAAGAGAACTCCTCCCAGCTGGCTCAAAATCTCCGCTCCAGATGTAACTTATTAGTCCAACTTTATGTTAATTTTTTTATATAATCAGTTTATTGTAGGAATTTATTTATTTGTTTTTGAAATAATTTTTAAGGTTGAGGAGAATATATGCAAGTTTGCAAAAAAGGGATTGACTCCATCGCAGATTGGTGTAATCCTTCGTGACTCTCACGGAATTGCTCAGGTGAAGAGTGTCACCGGAAGCAAGATCCTTCGTATCCTCAAGGGTCACGGTATTGATCATTTGTGTAATCTCTTTGTCGATTCAATCTTTTTGACAAAGAAGATGACGATTTTGTACGGATTTTGTACGGTTTCCACACAGGGCTTGCACCAGAAATCCCCGAGGATCTGTATCATTTGATTAAGAAGGCAGTTGCAATTAGGAAGCACTTGGAGAGGAACAGGAAGGACAAGGACTCCAAATTTAGGTTGATTCTGGTGGAGAGCAGAATTCATCGCCTTGCCCGCTACTACAAGAAGACCAAGAAGCTCCCGCCCGTCTGGAAATAGTAATTACCTTTTCTTTTCACTCTAATTTTACTAACATTTTCTGAAACTAGTCTGCATTGATTGCTTGGTTTCTTAACATATATTTGTTTCGATCTTTGTATGTTTTTTATACCTTGTTTTCGTTATCATTAGATGAATATTCTAGTGTCTAGTTGCCTTGAATGAATATGTATAATTTTGAAAGTTTTCATTATACTAGTGTCTGCGCAGAATGACAAGATTCTTGTTTTGCAACTTGAAATTCTTTGATTTAGCTTTCCCTAATATATTCTATTCAGTTTTAAATTTGATTTTGATTTTATCTTCGGGATACATTCATGTGAATGAACCAATAGAGTAGATATGTTCTACCTTGCCAATTTCATGTTTCTATTGAGCACGATTTCGTGGTTGTTGGATTGACTGAAATAGATAGTGATTTATCATTAATCGTATGGCCCTAATGTGCTTTTAAAGTTTTGCTGCCATATGTCAAGGTCGAATGAAACTGTGCACTTTTAAGTTCATCGTGTGGCTGATTATTCTACGCACTACAAAAGAACGTGTTTATCTTTCTTGAAGCAAATGCAAGAAGCATTCCATGGGCCGAGAACATCTCCAGGAAGACAAGTTACACAAATAAAATTCTAGATACTCAGCCCTTGTTTGGTTTGGTTTGGCTCAAAACCAGAATTTTTAGTAGATTTTGATAAAAGTTGTGGGTCCCACATTTTATGGTTGTAAATGAGTTTTAGAAAATTGGGGCTAAAGAGGGGCTCAATTTGATTTGTTAGGCTTTAAAGCCATCAGTACGTCATTACAAAATAGAGTGCATGTGAATTGAGTAATCACCTTTATATACCAGGAAATGTTCGTTCTATTTCGCATATCTTTTCCTTATCATGTACAGTGCTTAGAAGTCTGAAGCTGCCTTTTATTTTCTAGGTTTACAATGGTACGTTTGATCCTCAATTTTACTATCATCTTCAAGTAATGTTCTTGAAAATTGTTAATTGGAACTTTGTTATTTTGCAGCGAGTCTACCACTGCCAGCACACTTGTGGCATAGGTGATTTTCGGGATCAGTTTTGAATGACGGTGGAGATATGGATGCTGTTGCAGTCTTGTTCATTGTTGGCGATTTTGATTTTGACTTACCTTGAGTTCGCAGAAGTATGTTAAATTAGAATTATGTTATCATTTCAGCATGTTACTTGATCGTGGATGAAAATTTTAAAGATCTCATTTTTGCTTTGGTTCTTTCTGATTATGTTTTTGGATCGAGGTGGCTTTGATTATGACATTTACTGCTCGATTTCTTACTAGTCTTGATTCATGTTTCGGGGATTCTATCCTTTCAAGATTTTAAAGTAAAATATCGAAGATTAATGCCATTTGGACGAAGTGGGTATATTCTTACGTGATGTGTATATTTCAAAGATGCACGGAGTGGATATGATAGTGAGAAGAATAACGCTAAAATACTAGCTTAGGTTACATTATGTAATGATTTCAATGAAATCTTGAATGGGGGGGTGGGATTTTTGAAGATTTTGATGGGCTTCTTTTAAATGATGGCTTCTGTAGATTTTGTAATTTTTTTAAATATTTGTATGGAATTAATGGAAGCTTCTCGTAGATTATTATATGCCGACTTTCATTTGAAATTGAATTCATGTTGCAAGTGTGAAATTATCATATGCTTTGTAGTGTTTTCAGAATTTCCCTTCTTCCTCATCCAATATAATAAAAAAATATTTTAAAAAGAATAAAATTTTAAGATTTTAAGTAAATAAATAAATAATATTAATAATAAAAATAATATACATATAAAAAATAAATTTAATATTCAATATTATTTAAATAAATAATAATAATAATTATTATTATTATACATATATAAAATAAATTTAATATTCAATATTATTAACATAATATACCTTTAAAATAAATAAAATATATATTTTTTGATTTAATTATAAATTACTCTATATAAAATTTTATAATTTAATTAAAAATAAAAATTTTCACAAAAAAAAAAAATTAATGAAAAAAAGGGGTTATACGAATATAATTGAATTTTTTCCATAAAAAATAGAAATAAACATTAAGAGATAAAAAATAAAAATAGAAACTAATATAATTAATTAAAAAAATAAATTTCAATCATATCTCTAATGTTCAAAAAAATGAAAGATAAAAAAAAAAAAAATACATATTAATTTCTTTTTTATTTTTTGAGTCTCCCAAAATCTTGTGATTAATGAAAGACAAATTTTGAGATTTTTTATCTTATTACTTTCTATCACGGAGACTTTTATAAAAGTCTATAAAATTCATTAAAATTTGAATACTCAAAGATTTATAGAGACTTTTAAAAAATTTTAATTGAATACACCGTAATTTTAAAACATTTTAAAAGTCTATAAAATTCTCAATTAAATATATCAATGCTCTTAGAAAGTCTTCAAAATCCTACATTGAATACTACTAAATTTTTTAAATCCAAAAAATTATTAAAAGTTTCAATTGAATACACTCGCCTAAGTGACTTATTTAATCCCACATATTATTTAATGACATTTAACATCATCTAGATTGGTGTTACAATAACAGCAGTGTTCAATAGCATTACTTGGGTAAAATTAATTTGCTATAATTGAACTCAGCAAAATTTCAATGGAGGCATTATATTTTAATATGTTTCAATTGGGTTATCGAGCTTCAGTTTAATTTAAAATTTTAACATTTTGTTGCATTTCGTCAACCTATTGTATACCAAATTAATGAAAATGGTAAATTCAGAAGTATGACAATATTTTTTTATTGTAATTTAAAAATGTGTATTTTAATTTGTGCAATGATTATGTGTGAACATGTATTCAAGGCTCATTTCAAGTCCACTAGTGAAGGAAACGTGTGTTGCACGTTCATTGATTAGTGTTAAAAATAAGTATTTGTAAATTTTAGAAAAATTCATTTATAAATGATGGTATTGAAAGAAAATGCCCAATCTCCATCAAGAAGTGCAAAACAACAAAAAATGTACATTTCAATTTCTTATAAAACTTCAAAGACAAATTGCAAGTTCAGCTTTTTATTAATAGTCACCAAGTATCAAGTATTGATCTCTTGTTTTGCTGTTTTCAATACTTTATCCGTTTAACATCACTATAGATGTGATTTCGTTACTTACCCATCTTTTGAAGCATATTTCAAGTCGATGTCAGTATTCACAAAACTTCTAGAGGAAAAAATACATTGTACTCCATTAAAGATAAAGATTCGTATAATTTGATAAAAAATCAGGTAACACAGATCACCGAATTTTATGAGAACATAAAAGATGTAGGAACTTTTTTTTCACGAAAACAATAAAGGATAAAGTAATCAAATAGGAAATCGTAAGAACAAACAAAAATATTGAAAATTCCAAAACATAAGGATTATGAAAAATGAATAATAGTACCGCATATGATGCAGGTAAAAAGTCGAGGATTAAGAAATGTGTAATGAAAACCGAAAGTAATGAAAACTGAAAGGACCTAATGAAGGAGGAAATGATTTTGTAGAAAAAGAGTAAAGAAAACACAATACATACATGGAGACTCGCCCACGATTTTTCTACAAAAAGAGACATAAAGAAGACCTTTTTTTTGAATAAAACATTTTACCTATGGCCTATACAAATGAGAAGCAAACAATGAAAAACTTCTCTTTCGTTGGATAAAACAGAAGCACAATGATGAAAATTTGTTAGTGTCTTGCATGGATCAAGAACACAAGATAATAATTGATAGCCTATTTCATGTTTCCTTTCAACCTCGTCTAACCAACAATTCAAAATTATTAAGACTTTAACGATTGCGAAACTTTGTTTAAGAACGGACATTGAAAGCGATTTGCAACCAAACAAGTACGAAGTTACAAATTTGTATTCCAAAAGGGCTTCTTGAATATAACAGTTTATATTATTTTTTGACAATTTAACTCGATAAATCATTCTTTTAAAATGTCCATACAATTTTATATCCGAGTACTAAAAATGAAACAACATAATTTAGAATATAGCGTCCATGTTTACTAATTAGCCGTCTAAACTAAGCTCCAAAATAAATCACAAGAAGTTTTTAAAAATGCAGAATAAAGCACAAGTAAACAGAAAGTCATCATTATTTCACTCACTTGCACCCAAATAAAGCAAAATGCTCCAAAACCAAGTATACCCAACAAATGTATCACCTGCAAACCACCACAAGTCCAATATATCAAACACTATATACAAATTTAATGATGTTTTCAATCAAATTATATACTAACTTAACTAATTAGGACGCACCCAACTATGTAGAGAAATCACATGTTTGCCCATTTATAAGTCATGTCATAAAATTTGGGATGGTCTGAATGCTAACAAACACGCACTTAATATATAAGCAAATAAGAATTTGCACCGTGTCAAAAAATAGCTAGAGCCTAGAAATTGATCAGATAGCAAATCCATGGAAAGGACTAAAGGGGATAGTAGGAAATGAGTAACAAGGAGAAATTTATATAAGAAAAAGTCTACTTGTACAAAATTATTTGACAAAAAAATTGACAAACTCTCACATGATTGCTGGCCCCACATGAATAAAAAATTCCGAAAAAAAATGTGGGCTTCCCTATTGTGAGGGGGCCGGTCAGGGTGTTTGTCATCATGACTCGGTACACCAAGCCTCTCTCTTTATATAAAAATGTTTGGAAAAAAATTAGAGGGTAATTAGCAGAAATAATCCCCAACGTTTACACTATTTGTTAAAATGGTCCCTATCGTTTTAAATTGGCATTTGTACCCTTATTTCAAACGTTTCTTGCGGATTTGGTCTTTCCATCCATAAACCGTTAAACTTCCATTAGAACCTTTTGGTAATTTGCAGAAATGGTCCATATGGAATATAATTTAATATAATTTTGGAACGGCCTGTTTCGACGAGTGGTAACTTTCGCTATGGTTGGCCGTTTAACACGCCTTTAGGGATGGGAGAAATTAGGTCATGAACACTTCGAAATAGTATTAAAAATGTAATATTTCGATTTCTTTTGACTTCCCGTAATAATCCTACAAAATGGAGACAAAAATAAGAAAAATCGTTTATATATTTTGAAACGGCCTGTTTCGACGAGTGGTAACTTTAGATTCGATTGACCATTTCGCACGCCGTTAGAGATGTGAGAAACTAAGTCATGAGCACTTCGAAATGGTATTAAAAATGTAATATTTCGACTTCGTTTGTTTTCCCATAATAATCCCGCAAAATGGAAACAAAAAATAAGAAAAATTATTTGTATATTTTGGAACGGCCTGCTTCGACGAGTGGTAACTTTCGCTACGGTTGGCCATTTCGCACGCCGTTAAGGATGGGAGAAATTAGGTCATGAGCACTTCGAAATGGTATTAAAAATGTAATATTTTAACTTCGTTTGATTTCTCGTAATAATCCCGCAAAATGGAGATAAAAAATAAGAAAAATCGTTTATATATTTTGGAACGGTCTACTTCGATGAGTGGTAACTTTAGCTACGGTTGGCTGTTTCGCATGAGTGGTAACTTTAGTTACGGTCATGAGCACTTCGAAATGATATTAAAAATGTATAAACGATTTTTCTTATTTTTTGTCTCCATTTTGCGGGATATTACAGGAAGTCAGACGAAGTCGAAATATTACATTTTTAATACCATTTCGAAGTACTCATGACCTAATTTCTCCCATCCCTAACGGCGTGCCAAACGGCCAACCGTAGCGAAGGTTACCACTCGTCGAAGCAGGCCGTTCCAAAATATATAAACTATTCTTATTTTTTGTCTCAATTTTGCGGGATTATTACGAGAAATCAAACGAAATTGAAATATTACATTTTTAATACCAATTCGAAGTGCTCATGACCTAATTTCTCCCATCCCTAACGGCGTGCGAAACGGCCAACTGTAGCGAAAGTTACCATTAGTCGAAACAGACGGTTTCCAAATTATATTAAATTATATTCCATAGGGACAATTTCTGCAAATTACCAAAATGTTCTAACGGATGTTTAACGGTTTATGGATGGAAGGACCAATTCCACAAGAAACGTTCGGAACAAGGGTACAAATGCCAATTTTAAAACGACATGGACCACTTTAGCAAAAAGTGTAAACGTTGAGGATCATTTATGCTAATTACCCAAAATTAGAAGACAATCACACCAATCACTTACTTGAGAAACATGCTCCACAATGTTTTTGAATAGAACCATGCTCCACGGTCCGCACCCACCATTGTGAACACAATTCCCACAAGAATAATGTAGAACAAAAACCAAATCAGTAAATTAAAAAGAAAAAAATAGGCTCATAAACGAACATGTGAATGGATATAAAGAATGACAAAGTTAAAGCGATACTTTATTTGTATAAAAAATCCACTATAATAAAATATCAAAATAACCAAAAAAATTCAATCTTTTTATCACTCAACACAAAAAGAATAAAACTCCTTAGCATTAATAATTACCATCTTGAGTGATCAGTGTAAAAAAAACAAAAAAAGTGTCCGTACAGCACGGAGGACACCGTGTGCGAACACATGCATGGTGTCCTTGTCGTGTCGGCACACGATGTCCTCCGTGCTGCACATACATTTTTTTTTTATACAGTGCTATTAATAAAATTTTTTTTTAACTAACATTTTGAGATACAAGGTTGATTAAATAAGTAAGTGAAATCTTCACAATCCATACAAAAAAATGAATTAATTTATATTTTTTGAGAGTTACTATAAGAGCGAAACCAGATATAGCAACTCATGAATTGGCAAGATTTGAGCCAGCGAGCTCAAGGTCCCCGCGCCGCCCAGCCCAGCCCAACCCAGCCCACCACACACACACACTCACACACACACACACACAAAGCGTATATTGTACCGATTAAATGGCGTATCTTGTTCGAAATTGCCTGTAACATTTTCACGTTAAAAAAGATTAAAAATCTTTCAAAAAGTTTCATTGTATGGATATGGAAACAATTAAACAAACAACAAACTTATCTACCATACCCAAATTCATAGCAAAATGGACATTAGTTACGAAAATACCTTATTTCAATCATTATTTGAGCAATCTCTTTCTCAATTCATATGCCAGATAATGAAAATTTCTAACCCTGCAAAAAAGGGTTTTGGGATGGTCGAACGGAAATTTCTTGACAAAATTAGAGCCGCATATAGAGAGAAGAACGTAGGGAGAAAAAAATTCAAAAGATAGAAGAAGAAAAAGAAAGGAGAAATCTTACATGATATGGGTCATTGTGGGGGAATGGAGAAATAAAGACGTATGGTTGGTTGAGTGAGAAAATGAAGAAAGAGGATGAAGTTGCGTGTTGATTCAAAGCGTATGGAGGAAACGTTGATGGGTGAAAAAAAAAAAAAGAAAACTGAATTATGTCGACAATGGAAAATCGCGACACATGGTGCTTAATTCTTTGCCTCTTTTATGTTGTCGTGAAATAAAAACATTAAAATATCAAATAATTAGAAAAATATTAATAGGAATTTAGTCAATATCCAATAAACCCTGCGATACTAAAAGTTCTCAAACCCTTTCCCCCAGCCACAATTTCCTAGTTCTGTCCGAGCGAAAATGGCCACCGAGTTAAGATTAGCGACTGAGAGAACTGGCGACGGCACCGGACAACCTCTCCTCGCCGCCGATAATGGAGAGGAACTCATGCACGTCCAGCCCAGCGTCTCCGTCGGCAACCGACCCCCTGAATCCTCTGGCACTCTCTACATCTCCACCAAGTACATAATATTGTAGTTTTATACTTCATCTTCACATGCGTTTATTTTCTTGATTGATTTGTAATTAGAGTGTTTTCTATTGAAGGCAATTGGTGTGGTTGAGTAACACGAACAGGGAAAAAGGCTATGAGGTAGATTTCTTATCAGTTTCACTTCACGCGGTGTCGAGGGACCCTGAGGCCTACCCTTCTCCTACATAAATATGAGTCCACTTCTTTTTTTTACCCCCTTACTGCAAGTTGGTGTTGCATTGATCTTCTTTTTCTGTTTGAAGTTTCGGGATTTGGTACTCAGTTGGGATTGAAAGATTAGCTTTTCTGTCTAATTGAGGAGGGGGTAACGCCCGGACGGGTAATAGAACGTGATGAAAAATAACTTTTATATTACTAGCATTCATTTAGACAAAATGCCATGTATGAACAAATAGGCTAGAAAAAAGTGCTAGAACCTAAAATACCTCAAAGAATGAGGTAAAGTGAAAAACAAACCTATGGTACGGAAATAAATAGATCCACCAAGATTGTCAATTATTTAGCCCCTGTTTGGTGCACATTTTGGGTAGAAGAATGCATTTTATTGATGTGATGGATGGGGAATATGTGGTTGAGAAAGGGGGAAATTTCTTGATGTGATGGAAAATATTATTTTATTGAAAAATATGTGGTTAAAAATGAGTAGAAGAATGAGAATGAAAATATTAATGTGGACCAAATAAGGGCTTAATATAACAAATAGGGGGAAAAACTTATATAATTAAACTTTTTTGGCGGCCTACCTTACCGGCCAGTCACCACGCAAGTTTGCGGTTGTGGATCCAGGAGCTCGAGTGAGCAGAAGCGGACTGTCAATGACAACAGTAAAAATCAAATATATCTATTATTATATTTCTGTTATATTTGATTTCAACATTCACCAAATGCCATAGTGGTCAAGCATTCCAAAATTTTAAAGAGGAATGCGGTTCAAATCTTTCCCATTGCACTGGTTTTAATATACAAACTTCAAAATGATGGAAAATATTAAACTAAAATAATTAAATAAAGGATTGTTCTTGTAAAGAGTCGAACTCAAGACTTCCGGCTTACTAAATGAATCTTTTACCAAGAGAGCTGCTACAAGAATTACTTGAAAACAAATGAAATTACCAGATATATGTATCCAAACAAATATGTACATTGATACTTGAAAAAATTTAATATCGGCGAATCCAGCACGGGTGGCCTCGGGTGCTATGGGTGCTTGATCTGTCGGTGCAAGCTTGGCCCAAACAAAGTGAAATTTTTAGTTAGAGTGAGTGTTTAACAATACCTAGCAAAATACTTGCAGTTCCATAACACAATTAATGAAATCAATATTGACATTTCATACCACATTTCATCACGAGTAATTGGTGATCAAGCGAAAAACCCAACAAATTACTATGTATTCTCGAATTGTGAAGGAGTTTGCATTTCATTAAGGACCTGAAGGTCTATTGGCAATCCATGAATAATTTCATTTAATAAATAAAATTATACAGGAATGAATTATATTCGGCTTATATACCTTATCTCTTGATTAATGGTGAAATCAATCGTGACTTCATGAGAACCCAAAACACTTAATTCTCGTTTCTTCTCTTCTAAAAAATCTTGCAAGAAATGAAAGTTGTGTGCATGTGTTTTAATTTTGTTGGGAGCAAAATATAATGAAGAGAAAATACTATTTGTCAGCCAATCCATGGACTTGCAAGATATCAAAGATTGTAACCCTTCGAGTCATTCACGGTAAAATAATTTTGAGCAAGTGCCAAGGAAAAGCTAGATTATTTAAAATACACAGATTGTAGCTCTTCGAGTCATTAATGGTAAAATATGTTTCAGAAAAATTCCAAGGAAAATATAGATTGCCACTGAACTTTCCAATTCACTAGTTAGTTAGTGTGACTAAACTCAAATTCAGCATCGCCTAGTGTTTAGTGGTATGGAATCAAAATCATAGATGGAAAAAGTATATAGAAGTTTAAGTTACATTGTCCAATTCCCCAAGCCAAAATCAACGTTGTGCTCTGAGTTTCTCCGTCTATGCCACAAACTATCAATCCTAAGTCCTAACCACTTGCTGGGACTTATTGGATTTTAGTTACGTTTATTGTCGAACTTGTGGATTTTGTGTTTTCTGTCACAACCTATCCTTTCCTTGGCATTTACTGAAGCCTCTCTCTTTTCAATGGCCTAGGTGGGACAATTATCACTTCTTAGCTGACGAAACTACTGTGATACATGATTTGTCTAAAACTGTATCTTGATATGACAATATCATTTTATGTGACATGGTATTAGCTTTGGTTTTGGAGAAAGGTTTTGTCCCATTAAATTGCAAAATTAGTAACTTGGCCAAGAGATGAACGGTAAGTTTTTGGATCATATCTGAAGACTAATTTTATAAAATACCCATCTGTAGTGAATATTTAATTATTTCCCTCATGCTGGTTACAGTTGAATCTTTCCTTGGTCCTATTTCATAGAGAAGTAAGAACATTCCTAACTCCCTCAATAAGTTCTCAAAACTGGAACAGAGATTTACTTTGTTGTTAGTTGTAGTCTTGTAGATGACTTTGATGACGAATCATTTGCAGAGAATGACTGGAAGAGTATTAATCTGTGTATTTTGCTATCAGGTCTTGGAATAACTTGTTATGCACATTTTGAAAATGTATTTTACTTAATATCCTTTTCAGCGCATATTTTATGGGGGCTGAAAACATTGTCATGCTCCCTGCCCCAACCTTCAATCTACTTAATCTGCTATTCCCTTTTTTCCCCACTTTAAAGATTGATAACGAGCTGAGGACGATGAATCAGAGGGCTCAGATTCTGAGTGCAATGATACACTAGACTTATCAAAGATTACTGAGATGAGACTTGTGCCCTCGGATCCTAATCAATGTATTTTTCTCGCTAAGTATATGCATCATCAAACCACTATATCATCTTTTTGGTTATATTTTTAGTTGTTTTCTGGCGAACACTAAATTTCTTCTCAACCTATTTAACAGTAGATACACTGTTTTCGGTATTTTGTGAATGTGCTGAACTAAATCCTGGGCCCATTGAAGGTGATGGATAATCTCCTGGACTAATATGCTCAAGTATTAATCATAAACTTTTTATAGTCCAATTCAGCAATTCACTATGTCTTTGTTTTCAACAGAAGAAGAAGAAGTAGAACACAATTGGGTTTTTAGTGTTGATCAGTTTGAAGATGTGGCTTCAGGTATCAACCTGACCTGCTCTGCTTTTGGTGCCTCTATAAATTTGACAGTTTTTTTAACCTTTTGTCTCTTTCTTTTTCCTTGTTATAGGCAATTAGCAGATGATGAGGATTCTGACTTGGTTGTCGCTCTAAATCAAACCCATTCAATTAGTGCTAATGGGAATCATGACATAGCACGTTCAGTGCTTCAGGTATGTCTAGATGGTGCCTGAAGGTATTAATAACTGGTTTTAAGCGTTATCTGGCAGTTGCTCCTTAGTTTGCCATTTTCATACAATTGATTGAATGAGGTAGTTTGAACTGGCTTTATGTCCTCATGCTGCACCTTAAAAAGTAGAGCTGCATAATCGCATGAGTAAATGTTTGGACTCAAGGACATAAATGATTACACATGCTGCTTCTTCCACATAAATCAGACGATTTATTTTTCATGCTTTAAATATACATATAAAGCTAGTGTTAGAGAGTAATTTGTAGTGGTAGATCTTTATCAATTTGATTAATTTGAAAAGGACATTTATGATTAAGATGTCAAAGACTTTTTACCAGTGAGGTATTTCTTTTAGACAATTAAAATCATAAGCCTATTATAAATGAGGGTCAAACTTCATTTTCAACCCTCACATTCCAATGGACCCACAAGTACTAAATACTTATCAAACCACCTATTTCTATCTATTTATCAATTAAACCGTTTATAAATTCTTCCAAATGGAGGCTTGACTGTTTTTTTTTTTTTTTTTGGTTTTACCGTTTAGCATTTTTAGGAGCGTCATTTTAAGAGATTCCTCTAATTCATAGGCATGGGCAATCAATAATATGTTTCTACTTTAATGAGTATTACAGTGATAGAGAACAGTTAGCTTTTCTAGTTCAATCTTCTTTCTGTTTTATTTTTGCCTGTTGTGCAATCTTGCACCTCACTCTCCCTGTTTTCTTTGTCATACAGCAGCCCATGCCACCACTGGCAGCATTCATGTACAGATATCTAAATCTCACTTCAGTCACTACACACCACAAGCACACCAGCACATGCATCCACCTCATTGCAGACCCTTAAAATGCAGAGACCACCACCAGAAACTGCATCATTACACCCACCATTAACTGCAAATGCAAACCTTATTTCAGCGCCTGTGCCACTGATGAGTCTGTTGGTACCATTGATCTCTAATTGATTATCCTCTAAGACTGTTGGCAGTTGGCACCAGCAGCATCACAATCTTTCCTTCCCTTCTCCATTTAAGCACCTGTTTGACATCCTTTACTCTAATTTAATTTAATTTATTTCTTATACTCATTTTTAACCACACATTCATACGATAAAAAATATTCTACACGTAAACCCAAAACTTTTCCATACTTTTCAACCACACGTTCTCCAAAAAAATACTATTCAAAACAATGCTTTTAAATTTTAAGGATGTCAAACTGGGGCTAAATTTCTCCTACTTTTCTTCCTTATTTTCCTTCTGAAATACCAAGTCTCTTCTATCGAACTTTCTATTTCTCTCACATATTTGATCTCTGAAATCTCAATTCCTCTTATTCATTAGCAAATCCTTCTCTTGAGCTGAACATTTGGTTTTCTCGCACAAACACATTTCTTCGTCTTCCCCTACAAAACACACAGTATTGCATAAAAAGCAAAATTCACAAGCTCACAACTGCCTCATTTAAAACTAGTCTTCCTTTGTTCTCTCTCTCTCTCTGTCAATAATTTTGAAAGTTTAGTGTTGCCAAAATTTTGAAAACCTTCCAAACCTTCCAAATCAAAATGATGGGATTACATTTTTAGATATAGACTCGTAACATTTAATAATTTATCCAAACTGATAACTAACGCAAATGTTGAGTAAATGTAATCATAACAGAAGCTAAGCAAATTTGAAGAGGGATGTGTATTCGAATTTCGCCTTAATAGTAGAATGGAATTTTAATGCATCACAACCACTGGATTGGTGGGGCATCACAATCTTGGGAAGTTACTGGCTTACTGCTGTTGATGTTTGTCATGGGGCATCGGGTTTACCTGTTTTTGCGATCTATAGCTATTACTTTCACCAAGAAGTGCTACCTTAAGAGTGAACTTCGTTAGCATATGCCCATATGGAAATTTCAACAAGATTCTATGTTAATCAATTAAGTTTGCTTGGTGATGACACATACTCAATCTTCACAGGTTAAGTAGGACACTGGATATGGTTGTTTGAATTGTTCATGTCAACTGATTATATTGCCCATGTTTGTTCCAATAGTTTTTGTCACTGTTCCTCCTAAAAACTCTCTACCAGAAAGGAGTTCTACATTTGGTTGCTATTTTGTTGCAGCAGTTGGGATTGTTGCTTGAATGGAAAATATATTTTATTGCTTGCTGTATTGGAATTGATGTTATTGTCTCTTGCAGTTTCAAATTAGTGATCGACGGTTTGAGGATGCTGAAGAAATGAAGAGTGATGATAAAAATGGCTACCACTGAGCTGCAATTTCTTCTCATTCAAATATTGTACTTGTGATAGAACGAGTCTGCATGTTAAATAGAGACTGTTAGATATGTTATGCTCCTCTTAGGTGCTGTAACTAATTATGCATTTTCCGCCTATTAATGGTGATTTCCTTGTGCAAGTTGATGAGAGAGTATACTGTGAGTTTTTTCTTGTCTATGTACTCAAATGCTACATAACCTAAAATGTCGGGGACCTCTACAATAATTTTTCCTTTAATTTTCTATGGCTTTTGACTTAAATTTGAATTAAGTAAAATGTTGTGAAGAAGTGGAACCAACAAAATTTTTTAATCTTTTATTTCTTTAACTTAACCAAAATCGAGTGATCTTGATAAAAGAAACTTGTAACTTGAAGCTGGGCATTTTCTCTCAAAATACGGAAGATCGTTTACAAAAGGTTACAATAAAAAAAAGGTCATCTTAGTGCTATTTGTGTGCATTCTCAACAAAATAAAGCCCAATAAGATTACAATACTGGATTTGCCCATCTCTATCAAAAGCCCCAAATAAATCCTACAATATATAAAAGTGAGAAGTTACTTGCACTGTTGTTAAGCCATTTGGCCATTTTGGCCGGAGCCGTTTTTGAGCCAGTCGGTTAGCCGAGCCATTTATCTCTACAGTCTTAAAAGTATGGTTTCCATGTACGCTTTATCCATTTTTACACTCAACATGTTCTGCCTTTTGTCCTCTCAGCTTTCTCTCTACGCTTCTCTCTCCCTCTCTCTCACATACGGTTTCTCTAGAGACTTCTCTCCTCCTCTCCCTCGCGATTTCGTCTCCCCCTTTTGAAACCCACTGCAACCTCTTTCGATTTAGAATGGTGTTTGTATATGTTGCTGCGATTTGCTCATTTGTAGAGGCTTTCGTACAGCTTTCTCTCATCTGCTACATATTCTGATATAATCTCAAATCGTGAGGTATGTGAACGTTGCTCCCTCTCACATACTTCCTCCCTCTGCAGTCAACGAAAACCCTTCTTCGCCTCTTTTTTTATTTTCTTTGGTTCTGTTTTCCCACGATTTTGCCTTGTCACTCATTGGCTTCATCACAGTCTCACCCCTCACTCTGGCTGGTAATTGTTTTATTGTTCTATTTATTTATTTATTTATTGGGTTTTTTTATGACATTTTCTTATCAGGGTTATTTTCGGGTTCTTGATTTTCATGAGATGAATAATGCTGGAAATCACCTCGTGGCAGCCAACTCTGTGGTTAGTTTTTTTTTCCTTTTTATTTTCGTTCTGTTCTTTATCTATTTTAATCGATCGGTTATTCTTGATGGTAAAGGTTTGATTGGTTTGAAAATTCCTCCAAGACCACCTGGTTATGCTTTTGTAGAGTTGAGCTTGCCCTCTTAAACTTGATGTCGTTAAGAATTGTTGGATAAAATTATATGCTAGCTTATTCACTACAACAGAATTAATTAGTAATTCCTTTAGCTGTCCATGATACAAGGTATACCCGAATGGTTATTTTGTGATTATTGTCTAATCAAGCTTTCCCTCATGTTTCAGTTCGAAGATTATTGTGATGCTGATGACGCCATTCGTGGCCGAGATGGGTATGATTTTGATGGTCATCGATTGAGGGGTCAGTTACTAATTAGCATATTGTTTAATTAATAAATTTAATCATTCATTCTTGTAACGAATGTTACTATATTTATGTCTGTAATTGTAGGTTGAACTTGCACACGGAGGGAGAGGATCATCGTACGATCGCTATAGTAATTACAATAGTGGAGGTAGTCGTAGTCTTCTTTCAAAGCGTTCTGACTATAGAGGTAGGTTATATTATACTCTCTCTTAGTCTTTACTTCTTACTATATTTATATTGACGGCGACTCTCATGAAAATTATCCATTTTTTTAATGTTAATACATTTGTAGTTTTGGTGACTCGCCTGCCTTCTTCAGCTTCATGGCAAGACTTGAAGGTAAGAGAACTCCTCAGTCTTCTTTATTGTGTGCTGTGTTAAAAGGGAGAGCTGTGCTTTGTTGCTTTGGAATCCTCTCATATATTGTTTCTACTAGGATCATATGCATTGAGCTGGGTATGTCTGCTTCTCTCGAGTTTACCGTGATCGAGATGGTAAATCTTTTTCCTATATACATTTTTTTTTATTGTTATTAGGCAGAACTTTGCATTGCATCAAATTCATATATATATTTTTTTAAAAGCTTGGAAGAAGCTTCTTGTGCATGGGTAGAGAGGTGAGGGCCAAATTGTTTTTCTAACCAAACAAAGAAAATGAACTTCAGAAACTCTTCTTTTGGCTAAACTACAGAAATTATGCATCTTACTTGGGTTTAAATTCATAGAGTTCGTACAATCATTTGCTAAAGGATTAAACTAGAGGATTTATCCATTGTGAAACTCCATCCATAACTACTGTTGCAGACTCAAAAGGTTGAAACTTTATTGCCACAAAGAAGTTGAACAAGATCAACATTGAGGAAAAACCCATAAAATTTTTACACTTTTTTCTTTGGGACTCCTTTAATTTGTAGGGAGAAGAAGAAAACAGAAGTCTTCTGAGAAGAGTGTGTGTTTGAGGAGTTTGAATGGTGGGGGAATGTGTATTTATGAATAAGATAATACAGTAAAAAGTGGAATGATTTTGTCTGTGAAATGATTCTTGAAAGAGTGTGTGAAATGAAAAGGTAGAGAACAAGAGTAATGACTCAATAATTTTGGTTTGCCGTGATTAGTGAT